GTGTTCGTCGCGCTGTGTCTCTCAGAAAATGCAGATCCTGCATGCACGAGTGCCATCCATGGTCACAGCCAACAACCAAAACCTCACCGATCTACTCAACCGATGCTAGTCGTTGAATAGCTGCTTTTTGCGGTGATAGCTAGTGTTTCTAGGGTTTTTAGGGTCCTTGAAACCCTAAACGCCTAGAAAAGGCTATACACGGCTGACTGCAGCATTTCGTGCATTACGAGTACGTGTCCAACGGCAGGGACCAGCAACAGGCACAAGCAAGGGATGAATAATTCCATGCTGCCGCCTTCGTGTTGCTGCTGTGCTGTCCCGGCATGCATGTTCTGGCTAGCTACGACCAAATACCCCATGTACACATGCACCAACGTGTACACGTACACACACATACATACACGCACACGTACACACCAGGATGGATCATGTTATGGAAAAGCCAGAGCGGATATGTCCCGCGCAAGAGCGATGTGCTGCTCATGTCGAGTTTTGATCTCGAGACCTCCCGCTTACTAAACGGGTGCTCTTCCACTGAGCTACACGAGCGGTTGTGGGTGGAGGGTGTCGAACACTCGACCTTAGGATAGTCCAAGTCACAGCACGATAACAGCTATGAGACCTACGCGCTAACCACTGCGCCACACCCACACAGACATGCAGCTTCGCGCGTGGCAAGCATTTGGCGTACACCGTACACCGTACACCGTACACGTACAAATCGTACAGGACGTGCGTACACACGCACCCCCGACGATTGGGCCAAATACGTATACACCACATCTACAGCCAACGCATGCCCGCCTCATTAGCTCTTTATTTTTCCCGGGCATGTGGCCAGGAAGTGTATATCTGTGTGACCATACACATCTGTGTGACCATGCATATCTGTGTGACCATACATACCTGCTTGCTGATAGCGCGACGTGACGCGCAATCTGTGGTGGTGTAAGGGGACTTCAACAAGTATGAATGTAAATGCCTGGCTGATTATAATCACTCGCCTGGCTGATTCCTTGTGGCTTGTGGCTTTTGGGTGGTGGGTGCTATCCTTACGCAGCCTTGGCTGAACGAAAGCA